CTTTCAGGGTTCTGCGTATATAAGGAGGCGTCACCGTGTACTTTCTAGAACCGAGGTCACAGGTTAGCAGGGCCGCGCTCCGGATCCGGACCCACCTGCTGGCTAATCCGGACACCACCTGATGTAAAACATTTATAAATTACCGCATGTTGTCTGATGGCAGTGTCTAACCAGCATCTAACCCCAAATATTTAGGTTTTGTTGTGGATTTTAGTAACTGGGATAACTGGGATCATCCATGGTTTGGATGAACTGTTTGGTTTCTGCTTCCAAACGCAGCATCTCTTCATCCAGGCCTGAGATCAGAAGCTTCTATTGAAGTTGTGAGCGGCGCTCTGGGACGTTCTGAATGGATTTGATGAAACTTTGAAGCCTCTCAGTATAAAATAAATATTTCGATCGAAATGAGAAATTTACTTCCTGGTATGATGAAGCACCAGTAGTTTGCATCCAATTATTTAAACAAATAGTTTAGTTTTGGGGAATATTTAGACTGACAAATGAGCCTGGGATGGCTGGAGAATGGCTTAGTCTCCATTTTAAACCCAGGTTTAAAACCTTTTTAGGGCAGCATGAAGCCCACTGCCAACATTAAGACAGAAAAAACAAAGAAAATAACAACAAACGGTCAGTTGAGGTTGATGAATCTATATACCAAACTCAACAATTGTTGTTCTCTACTTCAAAAAAACACTTTAGATTTTAAATTCGAAAAATTTTCTATTTTTTTTTTATTTATTTATTTATTTTTATTAAATGTATAACATGGATGCATAAAAACCTCATTTATTTCAGTTTTAAATTCTGTTTAAATTAACAGATCATTAAAAATGTCTCTGGACCTTTACTGGTTGCTGATTTTCTTTATTCGGTCCTGCTGGTTTTTAATTGGTTAGCTCTGGTCTAGAACCTTTTTCACCAATGCACAGGTTGGTTTTACCTTCTAGAACTTTTATTTATTTATTCAAGTTTTTACGGCGCAGCTGACAGGAAAGACTGGGAAAGAAAAAGCTGTAAAAACTGAATAAACAAACTGAGTTTAATCTGGAGGGAAAATCTGAGCAGGATTCAGAGTTTCCAGGTTTCAGGACGGAGAATCTCTGGTTTCCTGTTTTGGTTGAAGACGAGTCTGAAGGAACCAATGATGGAGTCAGTGGGTTCTGGGTCCACCCCTGGTCCAGGTCTCAGCCTGGTGGTTGGACCCGGACCCGATGCTTTATTCGGGCCGGGGCGTTCTGTTTCTGGGCTGGTAGCCAGGAAATGAATGAGATTCCAGTTGTAGGTCAGACCGGGGCTGCTGTGCGTATCTGCATGTTGATGTAACCAGAACAGCTCAGGCTGGGGGGGTGGGGGGGGGATGTTTACAGAGCTGATTGGAGCGGATCAATCAGAACAGGAACCAGAACCTGTTTGACCAACAGGATTTATGATTCCAGCAGCGGAGGAACTCTCTGCAGTTCCCATGAAGTTTGTGTCTGTTCTCTGTTTGCAGTAAAAACAGAAGTTCAGATGCTGCTGCTGGGGGGGGGGTCTGTCGGACTCGGTGGTATTTTTACCACCGTTTTTCCAGGAAACGACGACTCCTCCCCCTCAGATTCTGACTCATCCTGTTATGCTTTGAGATGTTCTGGCTTTAAAAAGGAAACGGCGAAACCAGGAGGCATGATGACGTCTGTGGGAATGTTTGGAGAGACGCCACGCCTCCAGGTTCTGCTGCTGGCGGGACGGAGCGGCTCGCATGGAGCAGAACCACTCGGCCCAGTCCATGTCATCTCAAAGCACTATTATTAACACCCGCTTCAGGTATTAATTACATTTATAGTCGTAGGGAAGTCATATTTAAATGTCAAATCATTCTGGCTTTAACATGTATAGAAATATATTCTTTATCAGACTATATTGTCCCAAAAGTTAGAAGATTTATATTTAAAAAGAAATCCTGTCTTAAAATCTGTGCTTATTTATATTTAAAAAGAAATCCTGTCTTAAAATCTGTGCTTAGTTAGTTCTACGTCAGCCTGAACACCTAAATTCGGCCAATCATATATCAACAGTCTGTCAATCAAATGTTTCCGGTCATAGCATCTTGGTTCATGTGTCGCAGCTAATATACGCAACGGTTGAAACCAGAATCCTTTCCTTTCCCATTGAGTTGCGTCCCCGTGTTCACGGGGATGGACGCCTGTGTCTTCAGCAGGCGTAGAGCTAACAGAACTGGCAGCGTTGCGAGGCAAGGGCTCAAACATGTACGGCTGGAAGCCTTCTACACCAAACCAAGCTTCTGCCGCCCTGGCGTCCTCTTCCACAACATCTTCATCCCCGCTTTCCTCCTCTAAATAAAAAATGGATGACGGAGGAGACTCATCCACGACCTCCGACACTAAACTCTCCTCCTCTTGCATGTTTCCTCTGTCCATAGCGTTCCTTGACAGCGTCGTTTCTAAGGCACCAATTTAGTGCTACTTGGTCCCAATGGAATTTTTCCATTGGGAACCTACTAGCGCTAAGTTGCTAACTGGTTAGCAAGATGCTTCCGACAAACCGGCTACAACCAAACTTGCTTGCGAACCTTCTGCCACAACAATCCCGCCCCCTTGATAATCAACCAATCACATTCACTTTATTCCCTCGTGTAAAGTCGTGCACCACTCGGGAGAATTCAGAAATGCAACGGGTGGAACGGCCGCTTCTACGACTTTACCGTCAGCCGTGATCTGATTGGTTCATAAGGCGGCGCTGCTCTGGGTTTCTAACAAACGGCCAAACTGAATGGTTCGGTAACCCTGATGGCAGGGAGCAGCAACATGTAGGGGAGGGGCGATGTTTCCAGGAACAATGGTTTTGTGATCCCAAACCCACTTTACCTCTCAGTTCCCTGTGTTTTTATTGTTGTTTACAAAGAAAGTGGAATTTATTTTCAATTAATGGATCGATAATCAGATTTTGTTTTATAGGAGATATTTAACTGAATCAGAACTTAAAAATACCCCCAGAGTAGTTCTGCATGGAGTATGGAGGACGGAATGTCATGTATTAGAGTCTAATTCTATTTGTTTACTGATTGAATCAATGATTATAGCCCTAGATCCGATAGATATGAGATCTGCCTGAGAGCGACACAGATCTGAGGCGTGGAGAGGTTTCCTCTGAGGAAATGCTCTCCATCATGCTGCTGTGTTTGGGTCTGGAGGAACCACATGTGGGCCGAATTCGTCGGAAGACCAGAATCTGGTCGCCATGTTGGCTCAGCGGCGTAAGGAAATAACGTTAATCTAAACAGAGTGATTATTTCCTTCATTCTCTGACGGGTTTAATGAGGATGTTTCTGTTGATGTTTATGGATCCATCTGTAACGGTTGGAAGCGGGAAGCAGAGCGTCCTCTGGAACCGTCCCAGGCGAGGCTGCAGGTGTGAAATGATTTTAGAGGTGGGAATGATTTCTGTCAGGTTTTTTCCCTCTGTAGACCCGTTTTAAAGAACCGCTGGGATGAAAGCAGCAGGAACAGGTCCATGGAGGACGGTTCAGTCGTAGTAAAACATGTTTTCCTCGGTTTGGGTTCTGTTCAGCCGTCGTCACATCTGTCATTCTGGTGCATTTGGTTTGTTCTCTGAAACGTCCAGAGTGAAGCATTAATAAATGATGGCGGATGAAGGTGTCTTCTCTGCTGAATGAATCATTTATCAGCTGAAGAATCCCTGATTTGAACCAATTCGCCACAGATGATCGTCGTCATCATCTTCTCCCGCCGAGGTTCTCGTCTGCACCGCCTGCAGAGCTTGGCTCTGGTCCGGAGTCTTGGGATTATCCTGACTGGGTCTTAGCTCTGACCTAGATGCAGGAGTGTCGTCCGGGACACCAGCCGCTCCGTTATCCAATAAACTCTAAATGTGGGTCAGTGAGCAGAGAGCTTTTTCCAGCCCCACAGGAACACAGCAACAGCTCCTTCCTCCTGGTTTCTCCCAGAATCCCTCAGAATGTCTGATTTCTGCTGAAATGACGAGTCCTCTCCTCGTTGATGTCAATCCTGCCTGTTTCCACACGTGGAGGCAGAACCTCTTCAAAGTTTCTGCTTCAGTTTAAAATAAAAGGGAAAAGTCATGATGAGGTGGAGCTGATGGTTCTTATGATGCCACCTCGACAACAGCTCATTCATCTGCTCAGGTTGCAGTGGGGGGAGAATAAACAGAGCGTTCTTCCCCTCTGGACCGGGAACTATGTAGAGGGATGGGAGTTTTGGGTTTTTCCCAGACTGGGTACCTCTGAACTGATCTCAGATGAAAAGATGATGGAGGAGGACCTGAAAGAGACTGGAAAGGTAGGCTGGGATTTCCCTGTTCAACATCCTGGAGCTTCAGCTCATCACAGTTCACACCTTTGATCGCTTTGGAGGACGAGGATCTCTGTGGAGACGAGGACTTCCAGCCACCTCTCCGCTTCAGTTCAGGGTGGAGACTGAAAAATGACAACCAGTCAAATCAGAGGATCAGTCTGTTTAATTTCAGAAAACATAGATAATATCTCTATGTGAGATCAATGAAAGAGTGTAAATAAAGTGGTTAAAGGTTCTCAGATGTGATGGGTTGAGGTTCCTGTTTCAAGAATCCACCAACCGCCACCCCCACCCGAAAGAAGAAAAAAGAGAAAACAGGTTAGCTCAGTGAGCGCTTTGTGGTGTGAAGAAATGATGGTTTCTGGAAGGTAAAACCACACAGGCCTGGAGTTTACCATAGAGTTCTTGGTGATGGTCAGTTCCAGGGACCAGAACTGGATACTCTCCTCCTAAACCCACGTTGACTCTCTGACCCTGAATCCTGGAAGAACCTGAGAGCTGGTACCCATGTGTGGTAGTGCGCTCCATTTCAGGGTGATGAGCCATGAACCAGTTTCACTTCAGGCAGGAAACCACAGTCTGCTGTTTCGCCGTCGTCTGATTGGCTAAAGCTCTGACTTCATCTGACACCAACTTCCTCCCAGGAAGACATACGCTCTGATCCGTTCAGAAACAGCAGCATGACGACGACCTGACGGCTGGACCGCATCAGGTTTTATCTATCAGAACCCTGCTGCCGGGTCTCAGTGATGACCCAGCTGGAGCCCAGGTGTGGAACCGGCAGAGTTTCTGCTTCCTGAACCAAGCCCTTCCGATCTGGACCATGAGTGGAACCGGAACTCCCCCTGAGGGCGTCGAAGGCCCAGCTCATCCTGGTCCCTACCGCTGGCACCATTACAGAAAACCCTTGAAGGTGTTTGAAGCTCATCCAGATTCTGAGCAGCCACTGGACCGATACCAGTGGGGAGGCTCAGACAATCAGCCCAACCTGTTTGGACTGCTAAAAACTAGCACTCTGCCGCGGTTGAGGCGACGGAATGAGACTCAGGATCCCAAGCAAGGATCTCTGCGAAGGATCATTCCCTTCTTCCGGTCCATGTCGGAACCAGGAGCCACCGGCAATCCAGAGAATTCTCCAGCCAGGAAAACCGGATCATCCGCTCAGTCGAGGGCACCGTCTGTCAGCAGTTTTATCAGTACGCTGACCCGCAGGATCAGTCGGGTTATGAGAGATGAGCCAGAACCAGAGTCCGGTAGGAGAGTAGAACTTCTTTATATTTGTGTTGGTTATTCTCGGAGGAGGAAGGACTACTTTTTTAGAATTAGCTCTCAGCTGATGGGTCACCCCTCCTATGCACACGCCTTTTCAAACCCAAACAACAGTGATTCCTAGAGCTGTGAACCTCATTTTCTCTATGTTCTCTCTCGAGACAGAAAAAATACCAAGGAAAATTCCTTTAACTGGTATTTCTTTCTTGTTTATCAAACTATATGCAGATGAAACTCTAGTGTTTGTTTGTTTTCACGCAGATATCGACCCTGTCTTTAAAGGACCACCTGCACTGCGTTTGAAATATGTTAAGCTACAGGAAAGCAAAAAAAGAACCTGCACAGAAAGATTGAAGAAACAAATCTGAATCTTTATCCCTCCGAGTCGCTAAATGTTTTAACACTAGAGATGTTCTTCACGTGACGTGGATTCTCCTGTAGGATGAGCTTTTCCTCTCCTCTTCCTCCTGACCTTAAATTAACAGATTTTGCTTGTTCTTCTGTCAAAAATTTGTTTTGTTTTCTGGATATTTATCATTTCTATTTGATTGGTTATAGAGAGCAGATTCATGTTTTAAATCATCCAATGTCTGTCCCACCAACTGGGGTTTTTAGGTCCGTAGAGTTATGTCAGCCTTCTGGTCCCTCCTGTGGTCTCAATTCAGCGGACATTGGTACTGTGGGACATACTGGACCCATTGAGCTTATATCCATATGGGATGGACCTCCTCTAGTCAATGTTGAGAAACCGGAACTCTACTGGGTGATCAAGCTCTGTCTTTCTCTGCCTCAGTGAGGATGATGCCATCTTGGGAATCACTGAAATCATCTTCTTAGAATCTGTTTCAACCCAAAAACATCTCTAAGCGTTTTATTTCATACTCAGACCCGACTTTTATCTCGGGGCCGTGTAGGTACCAGATCTGCTCGGGGCCCCGCCCCTTATGACGTCAACATATGGCAACTCCACTTACACAAACTTTATTGCGCCTGTTTCTTAAGGATCAAATCTCTTCTGGAGTCGCAACATATTATCTCTATTTGATATTATTTGAGGTTTCATCGATGAACAAAATTAGCCGAAAGTAGAAAACAATCATTGTCAGTCTTGATGGAAAGCCCTGCATTCTAAGACAGACTGAAATCTGCCATTTAAAAAGATGCCAAAACAAGTTTCAGCTTTTTAAAATTCTTTTTATTAAGATCTGAGGACAGTAAGGACAAATGGAACATCTCAAAATGTACTTTCTTAGGGATTTTAGACGAATAAAACAGTTATTCTACCAGTAGAAAACAAAGGGTTGTTGTTGACACAAATTTAAAAGTAGTGTAGCTTAATGTGGCTAACTGACCGAGCTAAAAGAGGCTAACCTGTTAGCTACTGAGCACAGCTAGCCATGGTGCTACCCAGCTCTCCCCCTTTATACCATGGTCTATTAGTTACTTTGTTCACCATAATTTTGTTATCAATCAGGTAAAACTACATCGGTTATTAGACACGCTATCGCTACAGATGCTCCCAACGCGGCACACGGACGCTGCCTGAAGTTATTATCGTTGTCTGGGCAACCACTATGTTTTACATCATGTGTCAACGTTCAGCCAGTCATGTAGCGTAATGTTTCATCTGTGGATTCAAGGATCTAACTGAGTCTAACCAGAGAGACCTCAGAGACCGGTTCTTGTCTCATTGGACTGGATCTAAGTTTCTCCAGAACCAGTTTAAGATTTAGTTGTTGACATATAAGGCACTCACTGGCCACGCCCCTAAATATGCTGCTGAAGTATTGGAGTTTCTGGCTGTGTCTGAGCGTCTGCCCCAATCCCTATTTAGGGCACTATACAGTGATTTTAGATGAGTGTCCAAACATCTAGTGGATGAAAAAGTAGTGGACTCAAAATTGCGCGCAATGCACCTAGAAAGGAAGAGATCGTCCTTGTTCACTAGACGAGCAGACATATCACCAATTGCTTTGCAAAAGTTCTCCTTGCAAAGCATCATGGGATTTGTTGTGGCCTCAACTGATAACAAAGATGGTGAAGGCACTGTGCGGGGAGGCGGAGTCATGTGACCAACAGGGAGCGAAGAGTAGTGATCATCTGTCCGAACAGTGTTAACTGAGGTCTCTGTAGCGTTCACTATATAGTCCCCGCTCTAAATAGAGATGGAGGGATTCAGGCGGATGTTCAGACACAGCCTCTGTCTTCAGATCGTCTAACTAGTGGTTGGATGATTCCATCTTGGTTTTTTCTACCATCACAGAGGAACACTTAGAGCAGTTAAAGCCTTTTTCAGGTCGGGGCCCCTGCCAGGAACCTTTCCTGCATGTTCGGCCCCTCCTAATGTGGGTGGTTGTAGTTCACCTGGACATGACTGACACACAGAGGGTGTTTCTGTTCCTCAGAACTCATTTGGCTGTTTCTTCCTCCATGTCAGCTTTGTTGGAGGCTGAACATGTTCCTGCAGCTCTGTTTGTCCACACCTCAGTGCTGATTTCCAGCCTGAACAGACCGTCTCTGTAAATCGCCTCATTGTTCACTCTCCACGCTCTGCAGACTGCAAACATGGCGTAAATCATCGTGTACAGACAGATCTGACACTCACAGTTTTCCAGAACCGGCAGTGAAACTTCCAGCTTATGTTCCCTCTCTGGTTGACCTCTGACATCGGATCCAAGCTGTGGCCAACCCAACACTTGCAGTCCGAGGGAAGCATCTGAAACCTGACACTAATCCACCATCCTGGGGTGAGGATGATGCAGGCTATCTGTCGGCTCACTGCCAGCCTCAGGAGCCGTACTGTAAAACTCCCTGCAGTGAGGAGGAGGAGGAGGAATGTCTGTTTGGTGAAGGATTTGTTAGATTTAATTGATTTGCTCCAAGCCGACGGTCATGTGAGCAGTCAGGTTGAGCTGGGGTGGAGGTATCACGTGTCCTGCTCCTGTTATCTGCAGAGAGACACAGGAGATTCATCCCAACATGAAGAGAGGTGAACTCATCCAGATCCTTCAGGATCTGACAGAAAGGAACAACAACAGGCCTTGTTTTTAGCTCCGATCGTGGAGGTGAAAAGTCTGCAGTCAGAGATCGAAATCCAGGAATAGTCCTTCTAAACATCTGCTTTCCAGTTGTTTACTGAAGATCCTCATCAGGAAGTAGAACAATCAGGGCACCTTCAGCTTTCTCTTTGGGTGTCACAGAAAGACTGTCCTCTAATCAGGTGTTTCTGATCAAGCGTTTTCCTTTCTTCAGACTTTGTCTGGTTTCAGTTTACAGTAGAGAATGGAGGAAGCTCTGAATGTGCATCATTGTTATAAATTCTTCTCACTTTTTAGGCATATCTACTTGGATGATAGCATGCTATATGTGTGTCTAATGTCCCTTTCCCACCGACCGAAAAAGCAGTTTAAACCTGGAAACAATCGTCTTTCAGTGGCAGTGGGAACGGCTCACTGATGTGTGTGTTCCCAGGTCAAATGACTCGGACAGGGACCCCTTTTAAAATTGTCTCCCCTCTAATCGGCATGCTGTGGGAAAACCAGAGGCGGGTCGACCCGCTAAATTACGTGATACCATTGAACGCAACATATGGATGGATATGGAACACATCGCTCCAGTCACTTCTGATCCAACAAGCTGAAACGACAAACGAGATTAATACAGAAGATGGAACGAAACAATAAAGCACACTGACTAGGCCCTAGCTTCCTTCCATGATGCTCTCCATTGTTACTTTCCTTATTTCTGGGGTTAGCGCTGATGACATCATCAACGCTAACCCCAGCTTTCCAGTGAGGGGTTACACCCAGCTTTTATTGCCAAAGGGAAGGGAGCCAAATGCCGATCGTTAGCGGGTCGACCCATGTTTGAAAAAATACGCGTTAACCCGCTATCTTCAGTGCGAAAGAGGCTTATGGGTAGTTTTAGTGTGATAAAATTGTTTATGCACTATATACCATAGAGGTACAAAAAAAGAAAAACCTAAAACTCAAAAATAAAACATTAATTCAAAAATCCAAGACTAAAGCAGTTAGCATCTGGAAGCAGCAGAGGATACATTTTTTCGGGACAGCTCGGGCACAGATGATAAAAAAAACAAAAAAACAAAACAGGATTTAAATGCATTTATTTTTTCAGAAAATAGATCATTAACCTTTTACTCATGCTAATTATTTTAGAGAGAATATATATATTTTTTAAAGTACAATCTAGGGCGATCGGAGTGTATTTCTGTTTGCGCATAGCACTGAGTTGGTGGAACGGATCGGTTAATGGCAATAAATGCTAATGTTTTTTTGTGCTCTTGGAGCTAACATTAGCGTACTAAAAGTTAAACTGTATATTATCATTATTATCATGATAGTAGCCTGTTAAATCGTTAAACTCTGTGGATTCTGGTAACTTTAGCAATGTCTGTGGTGTTTTTCACTCACTAATTTACATGAATTAATGAATGAATACATTTTACAGTTATAGTCAAAAAGTACAATAGAAACTGACAGCATAAGAAAAAAACATATAAATACCGTATTTAATAAATATGGTGATATTCACAACGTATGCACACAAATGGATACATTGATAAAAACAACGTGGTATGGGAACCCTGCATTGCATTCTGGGATTTTCTAGCTTCGTTACTAGCGGTCTGAAAAAACTGCAGTAATAGTGAAATAATATTTGGAGGGGAGCTGGGTCTATGTTAGCTTCTGGGACAGGAAGGGATCCCGCAAGCATGACAATCAAGACATTTTAGCTTTTTACACAATCAGTGAAAAAACAATCAAAGACACTTCATTGTTTGTTTGTTGTTTTTTTGTTTTGTTTGCTAACTTTTGGACCTTTCTTGATACGTCATTTGAGTTATTTATCTATTTAGCATTCATATTCTTTGTTAGCTCAGCGTTAGCATGCTTAATGTGATACCTTTGGTTTGATTATTTTTACTGCAGTCACTCTGATGTTAGCATGTTAGCTATGTTAA